GGGGTAAAATCGTATTGGACTCGTTAAATTGCTTAAAATCGGATGAAATCGAGCGTTAATAGCTGGGCAAAAAAGAAGAGCTTATCGGCAGTAACAATGGCTGGGGGTGACCGGGCGTGGACGAGCAATAACAATTATCACGTTAATATGGCCGAAGTTGGTTGGGGGAGTTTAGATCTGGATGCCAAATAAACTACTCACCATCACAGATGTTCACGAAGAAAAAGACTAATGATTATTATTTATTAATAAAAATGAAAAATGATGCATGACACTATGAGGTTTTTTTTTTTTTTTTTTTAACATTTTAGTTATGGGATCTACTTGAACCGTTGTCATTGAAAAAGAGGATATGAACCTTACAAAAATGATTGAAGCCACTTGACTTACAGGGTCAAATTTGCATAACACCATGAGTTGGATCCCATATTTGAAGAAAATATTATAAAAAAAAAAGAATTACCTTGTAAGCCTTGGCTCATAATGATTAATATTTAAAAATTATATGAGATGAAACTATTTGGACTCAATCCTACACTTACATATTTGAAACCCAATATCTACTTCTTCTTTTTTTAAAGGTTATATTAAATTAATAAATATAATTTATTTATTTTTATATCATATATTAAATTTAATAAACTTTTAATTTTACTAATTCAATTTTATGATTTTGATTTTAATTATCAAAAATGATTTTACTTAAACTTTCAATTTTGACAGTCTTAACTGACGGTAGAAATAGTGATAAGGTCAGGATTTTAATCATATCAACCCTAGTTTTGCTTACTTCTATTCTATAAATACTGCAACTTTCTTGACGACAACCTGTCTACATAGTGTTTTTTCCGCTTCCTGAAGAAACCATCAATCTACTTGCGATACCAGTCCTAATATTCATTCTCTGCTACTTGCTATCAATGATATACCTAGCTCCATTTTTACTTTGTACTACTTTCATGACAAAAACCTGCCTCGTGTTTTTCTTGTTTCCTGATGCAATCATAAATCTGCTTGCAATACCGGTCCTATCATTCATCCTCTGCTACATGCTGTCAATGATATCCTGAGCTCCATTTTCGGTATGTACTTTGGTTTTCCCCTTTGCCTTTGCACTTCAACCACTTTCAC